GAGAGCATGCTCTGTCTACAGGTATCAAAAATACTGTCAGGCCACACAAAATAGGTCCATGCCTTGATTATGCTGGTGACCTTTCAGTCTGCAATCCCTGGGCTAATCAGCTGCAATCTGACTTTTAAAAAGACCCATTATTCATGCTTTCGACAAATATTAATCGAGCACCCACTACAGGTGGGTGCCAGACACCGACACCGCGTGTAGCAGCAGTGAATAAAATAGGTGTCTCCTCTGCCTGTACAGTACAGGATGGTCTGGATGGGGAGTCTAGGTACTGAGCTAGGCTAGATGTGCACAGAGGTCAGGGGAGATGATTATAAAATAATGGGACACTGGTTGTAACACGCAAGGGGCAAGGCAAGTGGAGAAGACGACGACTCCAACTCTGTCAAGGTTAACTGAGGATTGTATGAGCCAAGTTCTGAAGGATGAATAACAGTGTGCCTGGCAGAAAGGGATGATTGACGAGGAGAGGGCATTTTCCAGAAAGAAGGAACCGCCAGTCCCTGGGGGTGGAGACGTGAGAAAGCACAGCATCTTGGGAGAATGACAGCTAACTGGACTGGGGACGGGCCACAGAAGCAGCAGGGTATACAGCTGAACAAGGCAAGGAACCAGGAGTTCACATTTTAGTGCACAAAGAAACCACGAGAGAATTTTAATCAGGAATATGACATTACCAGAACTGACGGTTAGAAAGATTGCTCTGACCGCAACGCAGAAGAGGCTCAAGGCAGGGTGACCCATCAAGGCAGGAATCAGGGAAGCAGACAGAGGGATATTTGGCCGTGAAGGTTAGGGATGCAGAATTGGAATCATCAGCCGTGGCCATTGGGGACAATGTCGAGGGACATCATGTACATAAAGAAAAGCGCTGTTTGTTTTTTTTCAAGCCAGGCACTGCTTTGATCAATGAGAACATGCATTTCATAAGAAGCTTTGAATTTCATTTATCTTACCTTTCACATCAGGAAACTAACTCCACTCATTTTTTTTTTTTTTTTAATCCATCAAAGCCACGTGTGGACTGTCCCTCAGTTTCTCATCTGTAAATATGGGTAATAATGGCACTTTCCTTATTGGGAGAATTCCTTGAGCTCATTAATACAAGTAAGTATTTAAGTGTAGTTAAGTGTTAGCTATTATAAAAGCATAAATAAACGTTAAAGAACAAATGGATAATTAATGCTGTGCAATTAACGACAGTCCTCCCTCTCAGTGAATATTAGCCAGATTAAAACAAAAACCACAACCGCAGAGTTAAAACGTATATAATTGCCTTGGAAAGGAACTGCTTCTGGGCACTTGGGTGGTGCAAGTGGTTGAGCGTCTGGCTCTTGATTTTGGCTCAGGTCATGACCCAGAGTTGTGGGGCGGAGCCCCGTGTTGGGCTCTGGGCTGAGCATGGAGCCTGTTTAAGATTGTCTCTCTCTCTCTCTCTCTCTCTCTCTCTCTCTCTGATTCCCTTGGTCTCTCTAGAATTCTCACACAGCCTCTTAGAAAGGCCCTAATATTTATACACAACCATTACTTTAAATTTACAAAATGCTTTGTCTCAGGTAAAAATGTTTCAAACCTTAAAGATCCAAGGGGATGTGGGACCTGCAAAAGGAGACTGACTGCAAAATGGCACAAGGAACTTTCTAGAGAGATGGACTTTTTTTTTTTTTTTTTTTTTTTTAGTTTATTTGTTTTGAGAGAGAGAGGAGGACAAGCAGGGGAGGGGCGGAGAGAGAGAATCCCAAGCAGGCTCTGTTCTGTCAGTGCGGAGCCGCATGCAGGGCTTGAACTCACGAACAGTGAGATCATGACCGAAGCCAAATTCAAGATTCGACTCTAACGAACTGAGCCAAGCAATCCTTAAATGTTTATTTATTTTTGAGAGAGAGGCAGAGAGAGAGAGCACAGCAGGGGAGGGGCAGAGAGAGAGAGAGAGAGAGAGAGAGAGAGAGAATCTGAAGCAGGCTCCAGGCTTTGCACTGTCAGTGCAGAGCCCGATGCAGGCTTGAACTCATGAACCGTGAGATCATGACGGGAGCTGAAGTCAGACACTTAATCCACTGAGTCCCCCAGGCGCCCCGAGAGATGGAAATTTCTTTATCTTAATTGGGACAGTGGTTCCAGGGCTATATATGTCCCACAAACCACTAAAAACATGTGAATTTTATTAAATGGAAATTATATTTCAGTAAAGACAGAGGACCAGAAGACCAGGAAAAAGGGGCATTCAAGGGGAAAATGGATACTTATTCCAAAGAGGAGAAAACTGATTCGTGTGAAAGAACTTGCCTTAAATCTTTTAATTTCCAAAAACATCGTCTCTTTGAATGCAGAAAGTTGGCCAGTAGTATAAAAAAGCTTCCTTATGCAAGAAACATTGAGAAAAATTCAGAAGTCTTTGCCCTCGTTATCTTACGTCTAAAAAGCAGCCCTTTTTACCCCTAGATTCACTGCACAAGCTGCCCTCTTGTGGCTCGGATATGTATTTCCTAAGCACAGAATGGACAGTTACGAAGCTATTCAGGTAGCAATTGCAGCCTGCCCACAGATATTTCTTCAGGGAACTGAGCGGGGTGTGTAGGCTGCTTCCACCGTAAGAGTGGCCTTGCGTCACAGCCAAGCTTTTTAAATAACTAAGAAAAGAGGGTTACCACAAACTACGTATATGGTTTGAAGCAGGCAAGTTCAAAAGATGGTTCACCACCATTTACATTGTTGCTTAATTTTAACACACTCTATCTAGTAGGCACTTTCACTTTTGCCACATGCAATCAGTGTACCAGAAGCTAGCATGTGTCTTAGACAAGATGGGTGTCAAGAAAACAGAACTGAAAATCTCAATTCCGCCATCTTTGTACAATGTTCCCAAGATGCCTTTGCACAAAGAAAACTACCACCACCGTCACCGCCAAGAACCCCGACCCAAACACTGGCTTTTATTAACACCGGCATGTCGGGAATCTAGATGTCTTATGAAATGGGGAGCATATGTTTAAAAGAAAGGAGGGAGAGAAGAAAGAATTGGATGAGAAGGGAAGAAAGAAGGGAGGGAAGACTGAGTAGCAGATCTTTTCAAAAGGCTGCACTAAAAAAGATAAAAGATGGCACAAGCATTAACTCAAAATGGCAACATTATCCCTTTAGAAAGCAACCCATCTTCAAAGAAGACCTTTTGTAAAAGGAATATAGAAAAAGAATAAGGTTATAGATGCTCTATTTCAACATCTAGTTAAAAATTCATCTAGTCCACATACAGTAGCATCAGGCTGGACTAGCTTAAGGGTTTCACTAATTCCCAATAAATGTTGGATCCATATTCTAGCAGAGCCATCTTTCTTTTTAAATCATACGTCACTTCCCTTCTCAAAACCTTCCAACGGCTTCTCCTTACATTTGGAATAAAATCCAAAGTCCTCCCAGGACTTCTTCCCCCAGGAGGCTGCATGGCCTTCTCTTCTTCCCTTCTGCCTCACTCCCGCACCCCCACACCCATTGGGCACGCCACCAGCCTCCTGGCTGACCCTCCAATTTGCCAACTGTTTCTCACCTCCCTCCCTGCCTTAGCACTCAGGGTCACCCACACCTGGAATTTCCTTTCCCAGCCTTCTCTGTCTGGCTTTCTCTCTGACTGGATTCAGATATCTCCTGTAACATCACCTCCTCCTAGAAGCCTTCCCTGACCACTCTTAGAAAACAGCCATCCAATCACCAACCCTGCTCTCTCTCTCTCTCTCTCCTTTTCCCTATCTTTATTTTTTCTTCTTTGCACTTATAATTATCTGAAATTACATTATGTGATCATTTTTATCCCTTTTTATTATCTCCCTGCCCCAATGAAATGCAAGCACCATGAAAGAAAAGGGCTTCCTCTCCTAAAACAGAGTCTGGTAAACTAGTCAATACTCATTATCCGAGAAGTGAAATATCCCTGCTTGCAGAGATAATAAACACATATGAAACATGTTCCAGCACTTTGTCACTGTCAACAAGTCCTTCTTAAGGTCTCCCTGAATGAAGCCTCTCTTATTGCAACAAAAATCCACATCCTCTCCTTGAATCTCAGAGTGATGGGCAGTGGTTGACCAAGAAGCCAGTTGAGTAATTCTTTAGGACCACAGACTTTTGAAGGTAAAATGAAGCCTTTAAAAAAAAAAAAAAAAAAAAAACTTATAACCTACTCCAGCCTTTTTATTTTGAAGGCAAGTACAGAGGGTCAGAGAGGCCAGCTGGTTTCTCCAGGTTCACACAGAGATCGTGAACATCAACAAACACCAGCTCACTTAAAGGATGCACAGGGCCGTGCCTTGTTCGTTTCCATCATCTCAGGACCCAGCATGGTCCCTGGCCCATGGGAGGAGCTCAGCAGAAGTGTGCCTGACTGGCGACCGCCCTCAATCCTGCCGTCCGCGCTCACTCAACAGAACTACACTTCCGCTCATGATGGCTCAACTACAATTTCCTGTCCGAGAATCATTTCCAGTTACTGGTGTCATATGTCATGATTTCCTATCCCCTCTCGTTTTAAAATGCAGTCTGAAGGGCACCTGGCTGGCTCAGTTGGTGGAGCGTGCAACTCGTGATCTCGGGTTGTGAGTTTGAGTCCCACGCTGGGGGTAGAGATTACTTAAAAATAAAATCTATGATTAATAAGCTGTGGTTTGACAACATACCAAGCACAATTGTGTCTCTGGCAGATGGTTTGATTCTAACAATTCAAATAGCCCCGCATGGAAAATACCTAGGCAAAAATGGGCTATGCAAAACAATCATGAAAAAAAAAAGAAGAAAGTGGGCAGTTTATCTGGCCACGGGTGCCATGATGGTAGCGAAAGGCAGGGGCCCTCTCTGGCTCCCATTTGTTTTCTTGTAGCACTTAGCAGTGTCCCTGACATGCAGTAAGGTCCATTTGCTGAGAGGGAAAAGAGAAGAAAATGACACTGTAGACTGAATTTATACTCGGCCTGCAATAGCTCCGTAATAACAAATGAACTTACTTTATAACAACAGCTCACACTTGCTGGTGCCTTTCGTTCTCAGCCCTTTACATCTGTCTTCTCGCGGAATCTTCCCGAGACAGACACCTCACCTGAAAGGGAGATACCACAACTCTGAAAAACGAGTACTTTTTAGAAGTCACTTAGCAACCAAACCTAGGCTCGCCAGACTCTTGTAGCAAGACTCTGCAGACCTCCTTTCTTCCAATATGTCTGAGTATCCGCATGCTTTGCGGAAGAAACAGTGATGCGTTTGATTACACGATGTTGCCCCCGACCAGACCCAGCTAGCAGTACTAAGCCATGTAGAGTACATGCCACATATTGTCTTTCTAAAATCTGAAATATTCCCGATTCCAAAATCACATCTGACCCGGTGGGTTTCAGGCGAGGATGGTTCAGGCTTAACACTCACGCAGAGAAGTGAGCTGTGCACAGCCACACAGGTAAGCAGTGGCAAAGCGGGATTCCAACCCAGGCAGTCCCTGCTTGTGGCCACCGTATCATCCTCTCTCTAATCGGTGATGTCGGTGTGAACTGAAGTTATTATTACTCAACTGATTCCTGATATGGCTCCAGGAAATAGGTTTCGGCAAGGCGAATGGCTGGGGTGAGCCGGTGACCTCACCCACGAAGTCTGACCTGGACTAGCGAAGACCTCAGCTAATGAAGGCTTAGGGATAGTAACGGGAGCACAGTGGAGGTCTCAGGAAGCCATGGCCACATTCAGGAAGACAGCACTGAAAACCTGTGGCCATCAAAACCTGACCCTCTCTGAAAGCCACCCCCGGAGCTCCTGAGAAATGCTGAGGCCGACCTGCTAGGATCCGGGGATGATTTTCCCACATTCTTTTATAAAATGACTCTGTGAAGTGGGACAGGAGAGCTGTGGGTGGGGTGTGAGCAGGACAAGGTGTAAGTAGGCAGGGTGTGTGTGTGTGTGTGTGTGTGTGTGTGTGTGTGTGTGTGTGTGCATGAAAACATATGCTCATTACAAACTGACTTTATCCTGAGGCCCATAGTGCAAAACAAGTATAAATTGTGTTTCGGCTTTGATTTCTCCCTGCCAAACTAATTATTTATGGAAATAAAAGACGTTACTTAATTTGGGCCACCGGTGTTCTTACTTCAACAAGTACTTGAGGTAAACCCCATTCTTCAGATTTCAGTTCAAATACTGCTTCCTCTGAGGAGCCTTTCCCAACACGCCAAACTGGATTATTCTCCCCCGGCCCAATTCTCTCTTACATCTTGGGTGTTAAGCTTTCCCTTGCAGCCCTCATCGTGATCTGTACATAAATACTGGTGGGTTTTTTTGTTCACCGTCTGGCTGTCCCCCACCAGACTGTGGTTGCCATGAGGGGGATCTTTACCTGTTTGCTCACTTCTGTGTCTCTGGCATGCAGCACAGAACCTGACACATCCTTGTAGCTCAATAAATATTTGTTGAATGAATGAATGAGTCTTGAATTTTACAACAGACAACCAGGAACTGGCCAGCACTGCACTAGCAGACATACACCAGGTCTTCTCTCACCGTTGAATTGTGAATGTCTTATTGCCTGGGCAAATCTATCTGGCAATTCATCATACGCTGCCCTGTGACATGTTCTCTCTATGCGTCTTGAGGTGTTACCTCACCTTTTTATTCTTACTGAAATTTTAAACTGTTAAAAGGTTACCCTGAAGCTCCAAAGTGCAAGAGAGAGTCAAGCGAGACTATCTAAAGTGAACATTGGAGGCTTTGTCTAAAAAACTTTTTTAAATGGTTTTATTTTTGAGAGAGAGAGAGAGAGAGAGAGAGAGAGAGAGAGAACAGGAAGGGCGGAGAGAGTGGGAGAGACAGAATCCCAAGCGGGTTCTACACTGTCAGCGCAGAGCCTGATGTGGGGCTTGAACCCACAAATTGTGAGATCATGACCTGAGCTGAAATTGAATCGGGCACTTAATCGAATGAGCCACCCAGGTGCCCCTAAAAAACTTTTTTAATGAGTCAACAGTGCCCAGGAAGAAAGACTGAGTTGTTTAAAGATAAAATATAGGTTCTAACTTTGCTCATGAGAGTGACCAATGCAAGGGCAGAGAAAATCTTAATTCAGCAAAGTTCTTTTTAGTTCCACGAAATATCCCCTCTGCCATCCTTCAGGTCCCACCCAAACGGGGAAGGCTCTTGGTGGCACACAAGTTGGACTTTTGTTGTTCTGCTAAGTCAGGCCCTTCATTCCTGGGTAGAAAGAACACTTGTTCCTGATTTCTCAATTCCTCATTCCTGCTAGCGGCACAAATGAATAGATAAAACTCAAGTGTTGACCCTTGAACAGTGTGGGGGTTAGAGGTGCCGACTCCCTAACAGCTGAAACCCACGTATACCTTTTGACTCCCCAAGAACTTAACTACTAACAGCATACTGTTGACCTGAAACCCACTGACACCATTAACTATTTAGTCAATTAACACACATTCTGTATGTTATGTATGTTATATACTATAGTCTCACAATAAAGTAGGCTAGAGAAAAAGTTAAGACAATCATAAGGAAGAGAAAATATACATACAGTACTGTACTGTATTATGGGAAAACTTAATGTACAAGCGGACCCATGCAGTTCAAACCTGTGTTGTTCAAGAGTCACCTGTATTCCTGGTATACTTTTTACTTTTAATGTGTACTTTTTTCTGGTCAAATTTATGATAGGTGGATTTTCAAATTTAAGGTGGATTAGCAAGTAGGTCTGTGAATCATTCACCCATAGCCAGGCACTCACTTTCGGGCAGTACCCCGTTCTCATTTTCTACCCCAGCTCTCCTAGAAGCACACAGGTTAAGAACCAGACCAATCGGCTGAAATGATGTTGTCAAAACACAGCCAGCCACTCAGGATTTTCAGAGTTGCCAGGAATTTCCTAACACGGCCAAGGTGACTAATGGCGAAAGGTTTCACTAACATCCCCTGCAGAATCCGAATCGCCTCCATGAAAAGTGCAGAACCCCCTGAAAATGGTTCAAGCGGTAAGGTCAGACTTGAAAACGAAAGGGCATGGAAATTGTGCGCTGTGGCTCTCTCCACTGTCCCTTGGCACACGTGTTCCAGAGGCATGAGATTTTGCATGGCCCCGCCATTTCTGCCCACCCTCACAGGACCCGCGGAGCTCAAAGCGTTCTTGCTGGGTTGAACTTTTAAATCGAATCGGAGCTCACGCACGTGCCCTGCCTCTTCCAGCTCCCAGTGTAAGCCTGGGGGTGGGCCCACCGCCTCCCGCCCCCCAGCCCACAGCCACACAACTCACGTTGGAATATATTCTGTGCATTGTACTGATCTACGCCCTCTCTGCTGACCACCCTAACAAATCAAAGGTTGATGCAGTTCCCTTTTCTTTCATTATTTGCCGTATTTTTTAAACACCTGCTGTGTGCTGGACGCTGCATTAAAACAGGCCACGTGTCTGGTTTGAATCCTCCCAACAACCGAGCGAGGGAGGAACTGTTAGGCACACTTTCGGCGAAGGAAACTGAGGCTGAGAGATTCATCCATTCATTCATCCACCCAGTTAGTAACATTTATTAGAGGTGCACAATGCATGATCCACTCAATAACTTGAAACCTGTTTCTTCCACTCTACCATACACCAAATTTTACATGTTAACATGTCTCAAATAGCCAGTGGGTATAGTTACTCACTTTACAAGGTATTACTGAGGTGCCTGAGTGGCACAGTCAGTTAAGTGTCCGACTCTTGATCTCAGCTCAGGTCATGATCTCACAGTTTGTAAGTTCGAGCTCCACACTGGGCTGTGAGCTGACAGTGTGAAGCCTGCTTGGGATCCCGTCTCTCCTCCTCTCTGCCCCTCCCCAGCTTGTGCTCTCTGTCTCTCTCTAAAATTAAATAAATAAACTTAAAAAGATTTTTTTGAAAGCTATTATTAAATCCATTTCATGTTTTTACAATCTGTACAATCAGATTACAATGCAGAGAACAAGCCCCTGGAGAGACAATCTTCAAAATCTACCCGATGTAAAGACATGCAAAGTCAACTAGAAAGAGACTACATGGTCTGCCCAGCTCCACAACTGTAAGATTAACATAATTAAAGAAAAATTGTGACTATCAGAGGGAGGGGTGGTCCTCCTTTGGAAGCCCAGAAAAAGCTGGACAGGTAAAAGGTGACAGCGACCACTGGCACACAGATCCAGAGGGGAACTTCTGAAGTGACTGGACCTCAGAAGGTTGCCAGTCCCAATGATAACATCAGCCAACTGTGACACAGACAGAGATTGCACCAGACCAAGGAGGAAGGTGTCATTAAATTTTAGATCCCTCACCTCCAGCTCTAATTCCATGCTCTTCTGAACATGACCTGCTTCTCCCTGAACACCTCAGGTTGAGAGACAACATGTTCATTTCTCATGTGAAAAAAGTAACCTTATTTCCACTAGACACACATACTGATGGAGGGCTTGCTACAAGCCACCGCTTGCCGGATGTTCACCCACATCTTCTGCCCCAGGGCCTTACGCTGGGAGAACTTCTCATCCCCATGGTACCACTCACAGCTCCCTCTCCTGAAAGGTGGGGGGGCCACTGCCCTGCCACACTGCTTCTCAAGCTTGCCCATCACCTGCAAAACTGGTCCAAGTCAGATTCCCGGGGTTGCTTTGGACCTCCTGCATCAGCCCCACCACAGGAAGGATCTGGAAATCTCTCATGTTTAACCAGTGTTCTAGGAATTCTACTCATTGGGCAAGTTTGTTGACCACAGTTCTTTGGCAATTCATTTAGCCTATTGTGAGTGTGGGCCCAGTAAGAGGCAATATATTCAATGCAACGTGATACACTGGGGATACAGAGTTTGTAAGAAGTCTTGAGAAATAACAGTACAACAGCTTTTATTATAACCAACGTTCCTTTCTCTTCATTCCTTTGCCCCAAATCCTAGCAGGTACAGTCCCAGAAGCTTACACCCTGTCCCGTTGAAATCCCACTGGCGTAATATTCAGATCAGCTAATGTTAGGTAGCTCGAGCTAATGGTGATGTTCTCAATACTAACAAGACTCTTAGACCATTGCATTAAGCAAATGAACTCTCAATATTT